GTTGGATTGGAGGAAAAAATCAGATCGGAGAGCCCAGACGACGCCACGTGGCAACAGGAAAAAAAATCAAATCAGCGCGGTACTGTAGCGAGCGTACTGTAGCAGATACTGTAGCGCTACAGTAATCCCCCTCGTTTTGGACCTCAGGCAGAAGTTGCCTTCGGGCCAGCCCGAGCTTGGTGGGTCCCACACCTCCCCCGGGCCTGGGCTGTCCGCTGGAGCACCTGTTTTTTTTTTCCCCCCAGCCTCGGGCTGGGCTTTAGCGCTGGAAAGGCTCTTATGCGGTAGTTCTCTCATCAAAAATTGAGGCCCCCATTTGGGCCTCAGATTTTATTATTTGTGAGTGAGCTGCCGCATGAGAGACTCACCCAAGACATTCTCGTGGAATTAGAAGCACTTTTTTTTATTTGTTAAAATAAAAAACTCACCATTTTTCAGAGGGAGACTAGAATGAAGGGTTATTATAAGGGGTATAATAATGGGGTTCTTAATAGCCATTCAATCTGGCCGAGTTATTATTGGCTGTTGGATTGAATTTCCTCATTGTAATTTGTTTATAGAAGCCCCCTCTTTTCTATGTGTTTTTTCCAGAAGAAAATACATTTTTACAAAGCCCAAAGATGAGGAACTGAACCGGGCCCAAACTGTAACTCAACAACAAAATGAACAATCCGGCTTAAAGATCATAAGCCCAAATAGGGAAGACAACTCGATACAAATGAAACGACCTAAACAAAAACAGTAGAACAGAATCCTCTCTCCGTCTCAGTTGATTTGATTTTCAGGTATGCCCTCTCTGTCTCTCTTTCTCTCTCCACTTGTGTTTTGATTTCAGCTTTCATCATAAATAATTGGAGGAATGGAGTTTGGCAAGCTTAACTGGTACTCGGAATATTGTGCTTTGATGAAATTGTTTTGGGTTTCGAGGAATTTTGGAAATGGGAAATCAGTCTTGTTAGAAATCTTTTCCCTTATTTCTTTGAAAAATTGGAGCTTTGGGATTGAAGTGAAGTTTTCAATCCCGATTTCCGAAATTTTATTGCTTTGTTAACTGAATGTAACTCTGACTATAAGCACGATGAATTATGCTGCTGTCTTTAAGTTTGAGATTGTTGGAATTTTTAGAAATACACAATTTTGTGAAGTTGAGAGAGAAGGGACTTATGCTTTGAAAAATCTATGGGGTTTAATGTTTTCTGTTTCCATAAAAGAATGAGTTAGTAAAATGGCAGAAAGATTGGTGAATTTGAAAAGTTAGGTATTCTTCAAACTGCCTTGCACTTTTCTCATTCTTGTTTTGCTAGGAGAATTTCACATGTAGTTAAAACTGAACTTTGGATGATTTAGATACACATATTCTCTTCTTTGATATTTTCCTCTAATAAATCAAACTACTTTCATTAACCTTTTAGCAAGAAAAAGAAACATTTCAGTTTCCATATATAACAAAACAAAGAAAAAATATCACCATCAGATTAGGAGAAACTCTAAGAATGGGCATCCCTTTGGCATAAAATTGAAGAAGAAAAAGTAAATGGTAGAGGAAATTTGTATGGCGTTGTGGCGCAAAGATACTGGTGGTGATAGATATATTTATGCAACACAAAGATACTAGTGGCAATCATCATATCAACATATCTTACACTTCACTATCATTTCTCTTAGAATATAAAATCACTTTGTCTGATTGTAAAAGTTCTGCTTATGCTCAAAGTTAGGAATCTATATGACAGTTTTTTTTTTTTTAGTAATTTAAAGTTGTGTTTCAATGTTCTTGATATGGATCATTATTTGTGCCCCTTCAATCTTGAATGGTTGTTTTCAGTCTCTTATTGGAAGTGGATTAAAATGGGGTACTTTGGGCTGTTGTTACAGCAGTGCTGTATGTAATGTGCTCCTGCTTTTCCATATTTGTTGTGCGTTTCTCTGTCCTTTTAATTGTTTGTCCAAGCCTTCATTCCAAAGTTATCCAAAAACATAAAGCACTACTCCATGGCGTCTTCTTTAACCGCTCTATGGAGTCTTCTTTAACCTGGAAAAATTAACTCTCTTTCAAAACCTAGTTGAATTTATTTTCTTCAACCTGGACAGTATCCTTCAACCACTCTATGGAGTCTTGTTTTATATTTTTATTTTTGTGTTTGCAGACTGAAAGCATAAATCAGAACTTGCTCCAGAATTTTGCTGGTAGAGATGTCTGGGATTTCAGGATATAGGAGCCTTGCACCTAAAACAAAGAATGCTATAGTTGCTGGGGGGCTGTCAGCTTTTGTGTTTGGAGTATATTTCTACACCATGAGAGCTGTTGGAGGCACAGATGAATTGCAAGTGGCTATAAATAAGTTTGAGGAGGAAAAAGGTCAGAAGGAGGCTGAAGCAAGCATGCCATCAAAGGGTTGATCTTATAAATCAGTTGTGGAATAATGTAGTAGCCAAGGACAAGGTACCCCCTACTTTGAAAGACATCGTCGTAGCCCATTATTTAATTTTCCATATGAATATGCAATATTTTTCTCCTTGATAGTACATTTTATAAGTGTAGCATGTTCCCAAACCCTTGTTTCTGGTAACCTCATCCACCATTTCATGTTATTGAAGGAACCAGAAAAAGAGTTGTTACAAATACTTATTTTTTATTTGGTGTAATAAATAATTAGTTTGATGTGTTCACATGCAAGATTCTGTTCGTCAGCACAACATAGGATTCCCTTAACATCCTCGGTTTTGGTCTCAAGCTATTAGCCAAACCGATCCAATTCAATCTATTTGTTGATTGGTTTTATTTGTGAGGATTGTATTTTTAGTGTTTGTATTAATCTTTGCTGTCTTGTTTTTGTTGTCTTTAAAAGGGATATCCACATCCACATCCACAATTGCAATTTTTGTTTTTTAAAAGAACGTGGGAGCTTATCTTTTCTTACTGACAATAAATTAAGGACTTATCTAGCACTTTTTGAAGTTTAAAATATAATTTAAAAACGAAGAAAGTACCTAGGGTCGTTCCCAGTGAATTTAAAAGAGAAGGATCCGAGCAATGTCCAGGAAGTTGCTGGAGCTTGCCACTCGGGGATCCAACCTGACTTTTAGGTGGGTTAGAATTAGGTAAAACCTACCCAAACTCAACCTGACCTCAAATTCAACTCGATTATTTTTTGGATTGGCATTGAGGTCTTGCCCGATTGAACTCTGGTTATAACTCCTCATTACAGTCTCTATTAGAAGTGGCCATAATTTCGGGTTAGTCCAACTGAACTGTTTAATTCGATTAGGGTGGGTTGGGTTGTCTTCAAAATGAGCGGATCTTGGATTCAAAAAATTATAAACAATTATGTTAGAACCAAAACTTAAAAATAGGTTTAATTTTAAGATAACCTGATTGAATTGCATAACCCAATCATAAAAAATTTGGGTTACATTGAGTTGACATAATAATGAGTAGATCTTGAGTCTAAAAAATCATAAACCGTAAGAAATCAAATTGAATTACGAGTTAAGACTAAAATCAATCCAACCCAACCGTCTCTACAATAAAATTGGCAACCCAAACCCAACCCAAACCAATCCGAACTTGCCTTGAAAGGAGCCAAATTAGAAACCATACCCAAAGTCGAAACCAAACCCAAAATTGTGAAGGATGAGTTAGGATTGAGTTGACCATCCAATCCAATTGGTCCGAGGTACACCCAATAGCAAGCTAGTCCATTAAATAATGTTGAAAGAGGCCCACACGCCTCCAAGAAAGTTCCTATGGTTTTACCGTCGAAGACTTAAACAAATTCAAGTCAATGCACACAAAAACCAAAACACGTAGCAAAAAATAATTTTTTAAAGAAATAAATACCAACACACCCAACCACTCACCAAGGAATATTAATAATATAATAAATTTCTAGTACTTAATAATTGCCCGACACAAACACACTCTGTAATCATCTCCTTTTACTCTGTTTCTCTCTAAAGCCTGAACCTTTTGTTTACATTAATTTTTCCTTGGGAGATCAAAAATGGCAGAATCAGGCGGCTGCTGCCGGTGCTGCTTCAGCTTCATCTTCACTCTTGGCCTCACAGCCCTCTTCATGTGGCTCAGCCTTCGCACCTCAAATCCCACCTGCAAAGTCCGCTCATTATACATTCCTGCCCTCAACAGGACCCTAAACGACACCACAAACAAGACCCTCTACGTCACCCTCAGGCTGGAGAACCACAACAAGGACAAGGGAATTTACTACGATGCCATCAACCTCAATTTCACTCTGCCCAACGCCACTAAGCCCATAGCTACTGCTTTTGTGCGCAACTTCTACCAGGGGCATCAGAAGAAGGCCACAAAGTCTGCGGTTGGGGAGCCCAAGGAGCTCAACTGGACAGCTGTCTCCAATGCGACCTACTCTAATGGGACTGTGCATTTCAGGGTGGATTTGGTCACCGCTGTGAGGTTCAAGATCATGTTCTGGAGGACCAAGAGGCACAGGTTGATGGTTGGGGCAGATGTGGTGGTCAACGACTCTGGGGGTTACGTCAACCCCAAGAACAAGAAGGATATCAAGCTCTCTGCTGCACCAGATCATCAGATGATTAAGTGCCTTCTTGGGCAGGTGGGGGTTTTTGCCAATTTGTTGGTCTTGATTTTGCTCAATTTGTGATTTTGCTCCATTGACTGAATTGCATTTCAGTGTTATTTTTTATTTTTGATTATTATTTTTCTGTTCTTTTTTTAACTTAGGAAGGAAGAAATTGGTGCTAACTTTTTGTACTAAAATGTTGAAATGGAAGTTCAAATTTTTGGTGGCTATTTATTTGGCTTGTCTGAATTATCTGATATTTTGAATTTTGTTGTTTTTCATCACTTTTGGATGTGTTTTTCCTTCATTTTTGTTCCTGGAGTTAATGAAATGTGGTGGCAATTTCTGATACAACCCGATACACGACTCGGGTGGGAAAATGAATTGGCTGGAAAATAATGATGCCAACATATAGCCTTTGAAAGCGGAATGGTATTCCAATAAGCCAGATTTTTCTTTGATAAACTTTGTTAAAGTAGGTTGGTCCTACATAACAAGTAAGAACGTGGCTAGATTTCAACAAGATATCAACTTGTGATGTTCTGGGAATCAGATTTCCATGCTGTGAAGGCCAGACATTAAGTGCTCCACTTTACACAAATTTTAGGGTTTAAATGGCAATTCAATCTCATGATTCTCATTTATGATCTCATCTGCTTGCTGATTTTCATCTACCATCTTGAATTTTTGAATGAGAATTTTCTTGTTTCCCAATTATTCAAAACTAAACTAAGAACCAAGGTAAAATCCCAGCTTACCACTGTGCTGCAAATGGCTTTAACATAACTATAAAATTCAGAAAATATGAGCAAAGCCTAAATAATATCCATCTTCCATGTAAAAAGCAACCTAAATACGAACTCCTTCTCATATTGACAAAAATTCGTGTAACTAATTGAAAACCAGTCTACATATCATATGCAACATCCTTAATGTTTGGTCACCATTTCTTTGGTTTTTACCTGGGAGGTGAATTACCAGTCTGTAGTTTTATCAGAGAGTAGTATGCTCCGTTGCGTCCCAAGGAAATCAATTCATTGTGTGAACCTTGTTCTGCAACCTTACCATTCTTGATCACAGCAATGGAGTTGGCCTTCTGTATCGTGGATAGCCGGTGAGCAATGACTATACATGTTCTACTGACCATCATCTTCTCGAGCGCTTCTTGAACTGCCTTCTCCGACACGCTATCAAGCGCGCTGGTAGCCTCATCCAGTAGGAGGATTGACGGTTTCTTCAGTATTGCCCGAGCTATTGCAATCCTTTGTTTCTGACCTCCTGATAGCTGAACTCCTCTCTCTCCACAATATGTATCATAACCATTATCCATTCCACTGCAAAATTTAGAAAAAGACAGAAATGTTGGCATATTGTGAAGCTGCAAATAAGCGTAATCTTTTTGGTGTGTAACTTGTCAACTGTAATTTCATACCTTATGAATTCATGTGCATTGGCCAGAACTGCAGCCCTCTTGATGTCAGATTCTTTTGCGTTCTCTTTACCGTATGCAATATTTTCACGGACAGTTCCAGCAAACAGGGTAGGCTCCTGACTTACCAATGCTATATGTGACCTCAACATTCTCAAGTTATAGTTTTTAATATCCTGTTCATCTATACAGACTGATCCCTTCATTGCTGCATCAATTCTGAGGCTCAGTCCTTTCAGTATCATCTGGTCAGGTCTTGTTGGATATGAAAAAAAAACATTTCTGAACTCGACACGACCCTTTATCCTCCTCTTAATTTCCAGTCCCCATTTGTTATCCGGATCGATCTCACTTTTCCTATCTAAAATGGCAAACACCGATTGAATGGCACTGTTTCCTTTAGATATATCAGAAGTCATGCTTCCAGCTTCTGCAATGATATAAGCGGTAAATAGAAGTATCAAAAAAGCCTGAAATAGATGCTTTGGAGTTATCTCCTCCAGCACCAGTAGCCTCCCACCATACCAGTAAGCTAAAGCTGTAGCAGCAGTGTTGAAGAATTGGGAGCTAAACAAGCCAGCACCCGAAACATAGGACTGTTTGATACTCTCCTTCTTAGGACCTTTCAAGGTTGCACTAAACAGCCCCAAAATTCTTTTCTGAGAAGAAAAGGCAGTTATAGTTCTGTGGTTGATGACAGCTTCGCTTGCCAATTGGCTTCCTTGCTTTTGAGCTTTTCGGGCTTTTTCTCCCATACTCTTCATTAAGATACTCCTTGCATAAAAGCTCCCAATGACTATTGGCTGCACTGCTATCATCACAAGGGCTAGCCTCCATGTCAGCACAAGTCCTACTGCATAAGCAAAGGTAGCCCCGAAAACTGCTTGGACCAGCAATGACATCCTGTCCCCAACAAGAGATCGAACCATGTTTACTTCAGTGGCTAACCTTGCACAAATGGCTGCACTTGTGTTCTCATCTTGATCATACCACCCAATCTCAAAAGTCATCAGCTTTTCAAGTAGTTGCTCTCTTACCCTTGTGGTCAACTTTTCTCCCATGATTGCAAAATTGTAGTGTTGGAGGAGATTGGTGAAGAAGTTGAAAACACCAATGCCTAAGAAAACAAGGGACAAGACCCTGGATTGGGACTTAATTTCAGATTTGTCCTGGAGGAAGTAAACCGATATAAGTGATCCGACACAGTAGGCGTTTATAGGTTGTACTGCCCCAGAACCTATTGCACCCAAGCATCCAAGTAAGGCTTGTCCCCATTCTGGTGCATTCATTTTCAGCAAACGCCATTGTGAAGGAGGAGGATAAGTTGGGCGCTTGAAGTCTTCATCATCACTTTCATCATCAGGATCATATTGGACAGAGAAGGAGTAGGGTGTCCCCATGGACATAGACATAGCTGTGGGGTTGAACGCTGGAGAAGGAGCAGTTGATCTGTAACTAATGGGGCTTGGTGTAACGCTCCTCCTACGGCGAGGTTTTTCATAATCATCAGCAGCCTCATTTTGGCTTGCCATCTGCTGCATTTGTACCATCTTGAAGTATTCACCTCCCTGCTCCCCCTTCATTTGCATCAGCTCATTGTGTGAGCCTGATTCAACTACTTTCCCAGCTTGAAGAACCACAATCAAATTTGCTGTTCGGATTGTAGAAAGGCGGTGGGCAATTATGATTGTTGTCCTCCCTTTTGACGCCTGATCAATTGCCTCCTGCACTACTCTTTCAGACTGTGCATCCAGTGCACTAGTTGCTTCATCAAGAAGTAGGATTTTTGGATCCCTTAGCAGAGCTCTTGCTATAGCAATTCGCTGCTTTTGCCCGCCAGAAAGTTGGAACCCAAATTGACCAGCCTGGGAAAACCACAAATATCATGTTTTTGTAAGTAGAAATCACAGGAACAATGTCTGAGAAGTTCATAATTATTTTCAAACAAATCAACATTAGACAATTCAAAATTGAATTAATTCATTTCCTAGGTAGGTAAGTTATTCTAAGAATAGTTACAACTGAATGTTGTTAGACTGTTGTAGCATGATGACTGTTATGGAGGCTAAGGGGCATGTTCAACTGAATTCCATTCGTGTTCCAAATGTTGGCTAACAGATTGTTTAGGTAAATTTGTACATGCTTTAAAACAATAGATCATGATAGCGTTGGGATCCCAACAACTATCGCAATTTAGAACATTGATGTCATACAACTATTTTTAACTCTCAGTTAAGTGTTGCATATTTCTTGGAGACCTTAAAAGAAAAAGAAGAAAGCCAAGCATGGAAGCCAAAAATAAATTCCAAATAGTAGAAGAAAGCATACTTGAGTTTCATATCCGTCTGGTAATTTAACAATGAAGTCATGTGCATTTGCAGCTTTAGCCGCGTTTATTACTTCTTCCATTGAAGCTCCTTCCTTTCCAAAAAGTATGTTCTCTTTTAAGGAAGTTGCAAACAGAACAGGTTCCTGATTAACCAGACCCATTTGGGATCTCAACCATTTTGCCTGAAGTCTTCTAATTTTGTGTCCATCCAAGAGTATTTCTCCTTCAATAGGGTCATAAAATCTCTCAAGCAATGCAATGATTGTTGACTTGCCAGAACCACTGCCCCCAACTAGACCTACACTCTTACCGGCTGGAACCTTAAGATTCAAGCCTTGTAAGACTGAGGTATCAGGTCTTGATGGGTAACTGAAGTAAATGTCTTGGAATTCTATTTCTCCTCTGACATGTGATAAAGCCTTCCCTTTTCTGTCTTCACTGTCAATACTAGGAACACGATCAATCATTTCAAGAATTCGAGTTGTAGCTGCCAATGCCTCTGTGATAGCAGTCAAGTTTGGGAGAGCACTTAAAATACTCCTGCAATACCAATGATAAATTATAAGTTCAAGATAGTAACGCAATGCAGCGGCAGTAAGCGATAATTAGTTCTTGAAAAAAGTTAACTCACAGGCCTCCCATGAGGACATTGAAACCGGCTACAAAAACATGCCCACCATCTTCTCCTTTCTGAGTAACCAAATAAGTGCCAACCCAAGCCTGAAACCCCCAACCGATATAAATGATTCCCATGCTTCCCATCAGCAATCCCTTTACAAGACCTACCTTGATTCCAAGTTTAGTAACTTTCTGAAGTGAAGTGCTGAACCTATTTAGTGTCTGATTTTCTGCAACATAGGAGTATACAGTTCTTACTGAAGAAATTGCTTGTTCGGCAAATCCCCCTGCAACTCCATAAGCTTCAATCCCCTTCATTACCAGGCCCATCAGAATCTTTCCAAATATAAGTCCTGGAGCTATGAACATGATTGAAAGCGGCATAGCAGCCAACGTCAACCTCCATGACAGTCTGAAGGCAAATATGTGGCAGAAGAAGAAAGTTGACATGTATGTCAGGCAGTCAGGTATCTACATCAAGGAGAGAAACACATTTAGCTAAATGGATGTGAACGAAAACAAGCCTGTGAATTCCTTGCATTTAACTGATAATTATCTCCAAATTCATGTGCATTCTGACTATGCTTCATTTGAGCCAAGAGAAGCCCTCAAGGATATGTTGTTTTGATACTGCTTTTAATCTTTAGGTGGATTTCTTATGAAATTAACTCTAACCTTCTCGCATAAGGCAACTTGGACTGCGTTGGCATCAGAGGAGATGATTGAGATAACTTGGTATGTTGTTGAAGAACCGGCCGTCTGGGTGTCAAAGAAGGAAACTTCTTGTCTAAGAACAGATTTCAGATATTCCTTTCGCATTCTGGAAGTCTGCCTCTCTGCAGTTCGTGTCCAAC